ATCTTCAGGCGTCCACTATGGGCATTCGAGTCATCAATCCAGTCGAAGAGGCCAAGTTCAGTTTCATTGGAGGATGGAGAGAAAGAAGGTTAGAAAAATTATGGAAAGAGCCGCTCACGTGATGGGTCGCCCCAGAATCCAAAACCGTGCCAGCGCCAGCGGGTCCTGTCGCATCCGCGCCCACCGCCAATCGAATTGCCGGGTTCTGATTGGGTCTAGTGGGCGGGTCGTTCGGAGGAGCGGCTTGGCGGGCGAAACCGGAAGCGGGGCGACCTTGCAGTGGGGGTTCGGGTTGTTGCAGGTTGGCATCCCTGCGGAGGATCGGACAGCTCAATCTCCAATGACCCATCGCCCCACAGTAGAGGCACGGGTTGGATGCCAGCAAGTTGTTGTCGGATGGTCCACGGTTGCCTCGGCGGATATTATTGATTGCCGCTGCAATGTCGTCAAGAGTCGGATGTCCAGGTCGGCCGACATTCTGCTGACGACCTCGATTGTTATTGGTTGATTGCGGAGAAAAGGACTGTTGCGACTGAGGAACGGGATTTCGGCGGGGATTCCTAGGTTGTTGTTGGTTCGTCGTGCCCCAAGAGTTAAAATTAGAACCGGGAGCCGTGTTCCACGGATTGGAGTTGTTAGGTTGGTTTGGCCATGTACGAAAAACGGATACATTTTGGGATGTAGTCGTATCGAAGCGCAGAGATTCGCCATAAGCCGATGTGAGAATGGTCTGGATGTCCCTAGCCGATACATCGGGTTTAGTGCCCAGTTGAAGGGAGATGTTTTGGAAGAGTTGCGAGCGTGACATGGTCGATGGTGGAGGGACGATAGCCTGTAAGATAAGGCTTTCAACGAGAGGTGTGAGGCCCGCTCCGACTTTGTGTAGGCCGGAGAAAACATCAAAGATTTTGTTGAAGAGGCCGGGAATTTGAGACGGTTCGGTGTTGGGGCCGGAGATTTTGAACTCGAGTAGCTTGTCGATAAGCTCCATCTGACGGAAGCGAACGGTTCCTTGAAAATTAGTCTGGATTGCATCGTAAGCTGCTGTGCCTTTTGTGTGTTGGTGAACAAGTGAAGCCAGTTCGTCATGGATAGTGATTTGGATGAAATAAAGAAGACAGGTTTGTTCTTGGTCGGAAAGCTTGGTGTAATTTTCGGCTTTGTCGAAGAAGTTTGGATGGCCGAGGGTGAGTAAAATGACTCGATTGAGTCCTCTTTTCCACTTTTCGAAGTTTGAACCATCGGCCGACAAGTGGTCAACATCCTGTTTGTATATGCCGGGTTGTTGTAGAAACTTGTTTTTTGGTGTAACGTCGGCCGTCACAGTGGATTGAGACATTTGGGTATGTCGATCGGTTGGGGTTGATTGACGAATGACAGGGTGGAGCTCTGCGGAATGGCGGGTGAGGAATTGAGAAAATATGTATGATATAGGAGATAGGAAAGGGGAGGGTGGTCGGTCGTAGTATGTTTGAACACCGGGAGGTGGGTGTCGTGGAGGGTTGGATCCAGTTGGGTCTAAGTCTGATAAGCTGAAGTTGCCTAGATTCTCAATCAGTTCACTGATCTGCGGTGGTTGCCGATTATTCTGAGGATAGGTGTCTGGCGGGGTCGGTGGAGGGGATAACGGTAAAGGGGGAAGTTTCGATAATCTGCGGAATTCTAGTTTTCGCCTTCGTTCAAGGATGGTAACTGGCTTGTACCAACAAGTTGGGAGGAGGTAGTGGGGCCG